TAAAACAAATAAATAATAAATAAAATTGTTAAACAAAAACAACATAAGAAAGCCCTTAAAATTGATATTTCAACAACCAGAGAAAAAAAATAATACCTTCTGCTCGAATACAAATATAATAAGAAATCAACAAGAATAACCAAATAATAAAAAAAATAACACCAGCATTAAAAAGAAACAACTTAAGTGAGTATATCAAGCACAACAAGAGCCAAAAGAAAATGTATACAAATTTAAATGTGGCTATTACCCAAAAACTTATATAGCTCAAACTGGTAGAACTTTCAACAAACGTATAGCAGAACGCAAATGTTCTTTTAATGACAAATTTTAAATTCTTTATATTTAAGATAAACGCCCATGAACTTTCTTTATTACAATCTATGAAAATTAACAAATTAAAAAGTACAAATAATTCTCAATTACCAAATTGAGACAAACCGTTCTCTTCTCCTCAAATTATTCAGTTGAAGGCTATAAAGTGGAAACACATACCGAAATTAGATCACTTGAGAAAGGCACTCTGTAAAAACAGCTATATCTCCCTTTCTTTTATAAGAGGTAAAAAATTAATATGGCACAAACAACCTGAATAACCACAATAAAAACAGCCAACATGGCATACCTCGATAACATCATGCGGAACAGAGAAAGATATTGGTTGCTACAATTAGTTCTACAATAAAAAGTAGAAGGAAAATAGGGACCAGGAAGGCGAAGGATTTCCTGGCTGCAAAATTTACGTATGTGGTTCAACACAACAACCACGAATCTTTTCAGAGCAGCAGTTAGCAAAATAAAGATTGCCATGATGGTCGCCAATATCTGCAACGGATAGCCACTACAAGAAGAAGAAGAACCTGAGTAAATAGGGATTTATTTTCTGTACAATGTCTGTTATATACTGGTAATACTGCAGTCAATTGGTTTATTGTAAAACTTTTGTTTATTCTAGGTACCCTTTCTAGAACTTCGGAATATTTTACCAGCTTGTAGGGTCAAGTTGATGATTACTATCTATTTGGAAGTCAGTTAGTAGTCTAAAAAAAACTAATTGCGCACGGTCTATGAACTTGCATATATGCCAAATATGATGGATTGTTTCAGTTTTATAACAAGATTCTGCAGTTTAAGTCTTATTGAAACAGCCTCATTATGTGTAGGTGTCTCGTGACTGTCGCATATCGAGTACGGAAGTTTAATGATTTCGAACAAGTTTCTACCTAGTCAATAAATGCCAAACTATTAGCAAATGTCCATTCTATAAACATTTTGTCATGTACTTGAATATTTATACGTTCATTGTAAGAGTTACGCCGTGTTCTAGGATCTAATCCGTTCACGGATAATGCTATAATCATGATTTAAAATTATTTATCCAAATATGTTTGACTACCTAAATTACCAATAATATGCAGTATAATAAAAACACTAGAAACAACAGAAACAGAAGCTTTATCTCACGATTGGGTGAATGAGTTTAAACAGTGAAATAATGGATTTCTGGTAAGATACGCTCTGTCCTTATAAGCAAGGATTCTTTCATTTGTAATATACGTTTTCAGAAATTTTCACATCGAACCTGTTTAGCACATGTACTTATCTTGTGTATTACTTCTCATTTATTGTTTTTTCACTTAAGTACAGGCCTCTTGTATATTGTCACCAACTTTAGATTCTGTGTTCATACAAGGTTAATTTGTAATCCAATTTTACACCAAGTATATATTGGATCATCAATATCTTAAATATATCTTTTTTTGTATTTCAACAAACATTTGTTTTGTTTTTTTTTTTGTAACTTGTGGTTTCCATTTACGCCTAGTGGATTATGGTAATGTAATTCTCTATAAAAGTGACTGATTTTGATTCACGATGATAAATTTATGCTGTGTAATTTCCCGTAAGTGTAAAATGTCTGGTTACTTGCCAATTTTCACAACTGAATGAAATAAAAGAATCACAGATGCATAAGCTTAAGGCATGTATTTATTTTATGGGAGAAGAACAAAAAAATCATATGTTAGTGTAGGGAACATTAGTTTTATTTACAATATACAATATTTTCCAATATAGTTATATTTTCAGTTTAAAGTCAGGACAAGGAAAATCAGGTGTAATGTTGATGAAATAATCTTTTTTGAAACCAGGCTTAAATTACGGAAGAGCCATTGATAAAAATATGTAGGAGTGATTAATTGCAGGGACCCGATCTGTCAACTGCGCATATGCAATCGTTAAAACATAAACCTCGTGGTTGCAAAAGGAATAAAATAAAATTATCATTTTTTAACATAGCTATCGGGCACACAAATTTGAATACATATTTATATTTTGTACTATTCAAAAATAATTTATAATAAAGCAATAATGTCCAATGTCCACCGCAGGTTATTGTGAGTCAAACTAAAATAAAAATGGTTGGCGTAATAAACAATAGGTATGCTCATAGATTCAAATTTTTGTTTAAACATGATCATTAGAAAGATCGCCTGATATATACAATTTAGAATGACGGGTGATATCTTCTACACGTTTTTAGTCTGTTTTGAACAGCATTCGGTTTCTTCATACGTATTGTCTTTCTTCATTGTTAAGAAGAATGCTTGTTTTTTAACATGCATTTGTTTATATTCTTTGGTAGAATATAAACAAAGAATATAGACGCATATGCGTCTATATTCTTTGATATAAACCAGCTCAACATTTTCAGAAGAAGTTTCGAGACATTTTGAACGTCCTCGCCTCACACATGCGCAGTTGACGGATCGGATCTCTGCATTTAATCGTTCCTCAAATATGTAGGTACCATTAACCAATAACAGGTTGATTTTATATATATGTCCCCACAAAACACTCCTCTTCTTACAATGTTTATGCCACTGCTATCCTGAAAAGATTTGTGGTTGTTATATTAAACTCGTTCGTAGATTGTTCTGCCAGGAAATCATTCGTCTTCCTGAGCCCTGATTTTTTTTTCTACCTTTCCCTCTAAAGTTAGTTGCAGCAATCCATTCATTTCCTTGTTTGGTACCTTTCTCTATCAAGGATATTATTAGTTGTAGGTACTCATTCGTTCCAAAGCCACTCATAAATCCATCTTTCTTTAGTGGTTGTTAAAATCTAGATTACATAAATCAGATAACAAGCTGATAGGTCTGTATTTTTTAATTTCTGTTACATCTTTTTTATCTATTATTAACATAATGGCACTATTCCACTTTTCTGGTGTCTATTTATCTAATCAGCCTTAAACGCCCACTCTTGGGCATAGACCACCCCTGTTAATCTACATTGATTTTTATTTTGGGCGATCTGCATCCAGTCCTTTCCTGCCGTTCTCTTAAGATCGTCAGTCCATCTCATCTGTGGTCTTCCTATTTTTCTTTTCTTTTCCCATGACCTCCAGTGTGTAGTTCCTTCAAACAGGTAGGCATTATCAAGAGTTTTAAAAGCATTTATGAAGCATTCGCCTCTTAGTTTTATTATTTCGTTTACAATGCCATCTTCATCAGGGGTTTTGTTGTTTTTTTTATACGTGTTAACGCTGATTTAATTTTCTCTTCGTTTATATCTGGAAATCTCTCTGACCATTGATTTTTTTTTAATATTGAGGTAATGCCTCGACAACTAAGATCATTGGCATGGTACAGTCAGGTACCTAGTGTATGTGTGTGTAGAGTAATTGTCTTGATACTTAGCAAAGTTGACGTCATTGTCTTTGCTAAGAGACGCTAATTGTATCTGAACGTCTGCGGTCCCTCCGGTGAGTACCGATCGCACAAGGATAGAAATTATTTTCATTCATTAATTTTTAATAAACGAAAATTTCTCCACCCAGATGAGATTCGAACTTACGACCTTTAGGTTTAAAGGTAGGCGCTCTTACCACTGAGCCACAGAGGGGGTTGACCCTTGATTTTGTATTTCTAGGATTTCTACCTTTAAAATGTAAGCATCTCGACTATATAATGTTCGACTATATAATCCTTGATGATGTTCAGGATATCTTGTTGTTTATATATAGCGTATTTATGTTTATTACATATTTCTGGTTCCTGTCTTCAACTTTCGTTTTAGGTCTTTTAGGTTATGTTGTTTTTTTGCAAGTTTCTTGTGTCTTCTGTGAGTTTTTAATTTTTCCTTGTTTCCTTGGCTGCGTACGTCTCTGCATTCTTTAAGGTATTCACCAACATTTCGTTTAGCCGTTCAATATTGTTTTCATTTTGCACGTTTTTTTGCAGGGTACTAATCTCAATTTATTTCTGGTATGCCTTGTGTTAGTAATTATAGTGTATGTGACATTAGTCCTTGCTGCCTCTTTCCTTCTATACATTCAAGACAATCTTCGCTTTAACCATTCTATCATCACTTCTGGTTGAAAATTGATTTAATATAGTTACATGTTGAACAGCCTATGTTTTGTTGGTAAATACAAAATCAATTTCATTATTCTCAAGCCATTTGATGACAGCCAAGTCCACTTTCTCTTGGAGCTTTTTTTAAATGAGTATTTATGACGTATAGCCTGTGTTTCACAAGAAATTCTTCAAGAATTTGACCCGTTTTATTTCTATCGCCATATCCGTGAGGTCCAAGTACAAACTCTGAATCATCCTGCTTGTGGTACTTTTTCGTTTAGGTCTTCCATCACTATAGTACAGTTGGTGGTTACCTCTTGTATCATAGTTTTAACGTCATCGTAGCACCAGTTAATTTCTTCGTTTGAGTGGACACTGGTAGGTGCGTATACCTAACTATTTTTGTTTACTTTGCAGATAAGATATATAACTACCACAAATCCTACGTTATCATTAAAAGACTTTCCTCTATAATGCAGTAGGTTTCCAGACAAAAGTACAATTTGTTATTCACCTTTTCGACGTACTTCGGATAATGAATATCGTTATTAATTTAAAAATTCTACTGAACTCTCGTCATACCACTGGTATATTTCAATAAGATGAGACGTGATGAAACAATTTGTTTTATTTGTTTACCGCACGTAAACCAAACCGGATGTATAATAATAATCAGTTCTTTATCAAGTATTCAGTTTGTTCGCCTTTTATCTGTAACTTCAGCTGTTTGAAGTATATTATTTCAATTATCATTTTTAATTATTGAAAACAAACTATTGAAAAAACATTATATATTATTTATATTATCAGAAACAAAAATACAGAAGTGTGTTCAACAGTACGAACAATACGTGGAATATGAATATGAAGATACTTTTTCTATTTTTTGGATTTGCAACAATTGCACTGGTAAGTTATTTATGACAAGTTTTTTTTAATATCTTCACCTTAATCTGAAGATACATTTACCTATTGTACAATTTCTCAACAGCCTGTGCAGGCCGTAATTCATATACAGGGTGTGTTAGAATAAGTGAGATGGTCAAATATTTCGCAAATTAAACATCGGGTTTCAAAAAACTGAAAAACACGTGTGTGTTTGTATGTGTGTGTGTCTATGTGGAAGAGAGAGAGAGAGAGAGAGACAGAGAGAGAGAGAGAGAGAGAGAATATGGCTTGGAAGCAGGTCCGTTGGACACTGATTTTTATTTTCTATTTTTTTTTGGCATGATATTTTGATTTTTTTATCTATCACTGTTGGATTTAAATGGCAATATTTAATTCTTTTAAATATTCAGTTAGTAATTTAATTACTCGCATACCATAAAAACTACGTTTTCAATAGTTAAAAAAAAAATGACAACAAACACAACTCCTCAGCCACACCCTCTAGAGTGGGGAGGAGAGCAACTTTAAAATCTTAAATTAAAACCCCCCATTTTCCAGCACGAGCGCTCTGACGTCATTACGATAAAAAAATTTAAAGACTCATGAAAGTGAAGGTTAGATCAAACGAAAGGCTTTTTCATTCCAAAATTAATAGTGTACCACAATAAGGGTGTTACTTGTTAAACTGTTTATTCGGGCTGTTAGGCCGTTGTCTTCTAAGATTAGTTCTTGACGTTTCGCCAACACTAGGGGTTGGCATCTTTTCGACATGTTACTGCTTCACTTGTAAGGAACATGTGTATACCATTGTAAGAGTGGGATCCACATGTCCGAAGATTAAACCGGTCACACTTCGCTAAAGAAGTGGTACCTATCTGACCCCCAGGCTTTTCGTCCACCCCTCCTCATCGTCTGACTTACGTGAGGTAGTTTATGATCTGAAAGTTACTTAGGGTGCCCTGAGTAATGGGGACACCCTCTGTTTTTATTGACTATAGGTACGCCACCTAACTGTAGGGGGTAACAAAAATGTCGGCTTTTCTCCCTATTTACTTTACTGACTCTATAGATATTACCCTAACATTACTTCAGGACTTGAGTCCCTAAAAAAAAACAACTGAGTCAATCCAGTGGGACTGCCGGTAGAAGTTATACTTCTATACACGCGTTCGCCGTTACAAATTTATATTGGAGTCAATCTGCACAATCATTACATATAGCATTTTTTATATAAAAATGCTTGCACGTCATTCTAGATTTACGTCATCAGATAAGAATTTAAATTTAAATTTACTGTTTGTATTTTGAGAACGATTTCCGAAGTGGAAATTGAAACGTCAATAAACGTATTTTTATCTTTAATTGTGGCTTATTCCCAGTTAAATAGTAATTAATTTACAATGCCACAAGAAAATAGCTTCAGAACGATATTTTTATTATAAATAAAATAGGTATACCAATTACCTAAAGAAAAGTCTCTATACTTCCTTTTTATTTGTTTTTCATCATCGTAATTATTTTATATCAAGATTTTTTTGTTGTAGGCGTCAAAACAAGATATAATGAATAGCATAAGAAAACATATCCACGAATGCCAAAAAGAACTAAACGTATCTGATGATTTTGTGGGCGAAGTAGGATCTAAAACTGAATCTGATCCAAAGAAAGCTGGAGAATTTGCTTGGTGCGTTAATATTAGGACAGGCATACAAACTTTGACAGGAGAATTTGTAGACAATAAAATTAAAGAAATTTTTGAAAATCTTGAGATGGATGAAAATACTGTAAAGATAATTTTGTCGACGTGTAAACTGAAAAAAAGTAGCAGTGCAGGAGAAGCAGCTTTGTTTTACTTTCAGTGCTTAAATGATGTTGTAGATTAGTCAACTAGATACAATATTAAAAAAAAACAGATAATTTTAAGAGTAAAAAAGTAAATAAATTATTGTTCGATAGCCAGAGTTTTATTACCTAATCCAACCTAATCTTGAAGATAAAAGGTAGGTACATAAAAAATACGTAAATACGTGCTAATGCTTGCTCCAGTTTTTGTTTTGTAATGTTAGTTTTCAAGACAATAATGTAAATTCAAAATGATGGTAGTTTTGAACGGTAATTAACGGTAGTTAATATAAAAATAATAATTTTTTATGTCTGTTATTCTAGAAATCCTACATGCTTACAGATAGAGAAATATTGGAAAATATATGCAGTAGAGTTGGAAAAGAAGAGACTAGGATGGCTATAAGCGAATGATTTATTATGCAGTAGAAAAATTCTAATACAACTGTAATGTACAGGGTGGTCCTTAAGTAATTGTACAAAAAGAAACAATAAATTCCACATAAAATATTACTACTTAAGTCAACTTGCTTTAATAAAATGTTGATATTAAGAGAGATACAGGATGTTGATGTTGAAAATTAAAATTTTATTTTTTTTATGACTTTCATGTTTGTGGAGATTTATATATAAAATTTTATAACTGGCGGCTTTTGAGCATGAGAAATTATAATTTTTAGTCATACTTTAATGTAGATGAAAGGGTTCACTACATACAACACATTTTTGTTATAAATTTCCACTTAACTTTTTTGTTCTTCAAGTTTTGTGTATTATTATTATTTGTGCTTCCTCCTATTGTAGAAGCACTGTACGTGAAATCAAATCTTAACTGTCTTTTCTATAAAAGAAAAATATTCGTTGTTTTCAGGAAGGAAAGATTAACACAATAAAGAATCAGCCGATGTTATCAATCAATCTTATTTGCATTCATCTATGATCTACAGGGTGGTCCTTAAGTAATTGTACAAAAAGAAACCGCAGATTATACGCTTTAAAATATTACGATTAAAGTCAACTTGCTTTAACAAAATGTTGATATAAAAAAGATACAGAGTGTTAAAGTGGAAATTTAAAATTTTATTTTTGGCTATAACTTTCATGTTTGTAAACATTTATGTATAAAAATTTACAGCTGGGTACTATTGAATATCGGAAATTATAATTTGATGCATACTTTAATATATCTAATAGAGGGCGCCACATATGCCACATACGTGGCATACATTTGCACTTAACTTTTTTGTTCTTCAAGTTAGCGGTATTTTTGATAAAAAATATTAAAGATACATTATTTTAACAAAGAAAAGGTATACTTGTTAATAACTTCAAAACTCAACAGTTTTAGAGATAATCGCATTTTACAAATCAACTGCATAATTCTGATTTAACGCAATTACTCCAGGCAATGAAAGAAAAATAGATAAAAACATCAATACTTCTAAATTTTGTTATAAAATTCCTTTAATAAAGTTAATAGTTAACGAAATATTAAATAAAATAAATATATCAGCAGGATAATTAATAATAGAATTCGATAAAATAACAGAATAATTGGATTTTACATCAAACATTTTACGTTTTGTATTAAATTAAAGTCATAATCAAAACATTTTATTTACAAACCAAATTAAGAAATTGTTAAACTAAATCACATTAAACTTTTTGTCAAAGTAAGTGTTCGATATGTCCACCATTTTCTTTAATGCATTTGTTAATACATTCTATAAAATATTGTCTCATAAAATAGCATCATTGGTTCTAAAGAAACAGCTGCAGTACTTATTATAAGTATAACAATAGGTATTCTTTTGGGATTTTTATGAATTAAATTTTTATATTAATATCTTACCACATAATCAAGGAATATGACTATCACGAACAATCCAACGTTCAGGAAAGTTTTTTTAAATACTCTCACTCCCCCTTCTCTGTAATGTATTGGTGTACCATCTTGCATAAACCAAATATGTTTGATGACAATTCTTCCAATAAATCAATAAAATTATTTTATAAAAATCTAAATAAATCTAACCATCCAAATTGCAAGGTAATTCGCATATTAATTCATAAACATTTCAAACAATTACTTATTATTATACGTATAACACTTATAATAAATACTGCAGCAGTTTCTTTAGAACCAATGATGCTATTTAATATGAGACGATATTTTATGGAATGTATTGACAAATGAATTAAAGAAAATGGTGGACATATTGAACACTTACTTTGACAAAAAGTTCAATGTTATTTAATTTAACTATTTCTTAATTTGGTTTGTAAATAAAATGTTTTGATTATGCCTTTAATTTAATACAAAACGTAAAATGTTTGATGTAAAATCCAATTATTCTGTTATTTATCAAATCCTGTTATTTTATCCTGCTGATATATTTATTTTACTTAATAATTCGTTAACTATTAACTTTATTAAAGGTATTTTATACCAAACTTCAGAAGTATTGATGTTTTTCTTTAATTTTCTTTCGTTGTCTGGAGTAATTGAGATAAATCAGAATTATGTAGTTGATTTATAAAATGCGATTATCTCGAAAACTGTTGAGTATTGAGGATATTAAGAAGTATATCTTTTTTTTGTTAAAATAATGTATCTTTAATATTTTATAATAAAAATACCCATAACTTGAGGAGCAAAAAAGTTAAGTGCAAATATATGCCACGTATGTGGCATATGTAGCGTCCTCTATCAGATACATTAAAGTATACATCAAATTAAAATTTCTGATATTTAATACTACTTAGTTGTAAATATTTATACATAAACGTTGACAAACACAAAAGTTATAGCAAAAAAATAAAATTTTAAATTTCCATTTTAACACCCTGTATCTTTCTTAATATTAATATTGTATTAAAGCAACTTGACTTAAATCCTAATATTTTAAAGTGTAGAATTTACGGTTTCTTTTTGTACAATTAGTTAAGGACCACCCTGTATATTATGCTTTTCAGCTAAATCAGTATAAGTCAAAGTATGAGAGATAATATAAAAATGTCTCCTATTATTGGTAATAATTGCCAATGTTAAATACTGATTTACAAACAATGAAAATCTGTCATTTATTTAACTGTATTTTTAATACTAATAACCGTGATATTTTATTTTCATTATAATGTTATTATTTTGTAATTTATAAAATAATTTTAAAACGATTTGAATCGTTTGATTCAAATTTGATTTTGAAAAACTAGTTTTGAATTGCTTTACATCAGAAGTTTTACATCATTTGGTTTGTCAACACAGTGTAATTTTTTATTTTTGATATTTAAAATAATATACTGGAGAAACACATATAACTCCGTAGGCATATATCTGTAAATGTGTATAAATGTATCTGAGTAAATATGGTCTTAGATGATATATAATCTTAGAATGATATTTGAATCCCAAAAAGGTAAATTATTGAAAGGGACTAAAGAAGACGCCTCAGTGCTGAATTGGCGACTTTCTATAGTACCTACTGAAAACATCATCAGACATATAAAAGCTAACCGGGTAAGATAGGGAGGTCATCTGGTAAGATTAGAGGAAGACAGAGTGCTAAAGACAATGTTTTTGAGAGCCCAGAAAGTAGAAGATCAGTAGGTCATCCTACCAAGTTTAAAAAAAAGTGTTAGAGGACTTTCGCGTTCAAAATGTGTACTATATCCATACCTTAAAGAAATGCACTATTTTCGAAACACAATGTATAATACCCTCCTTTCCTTTATAGTCTTTTATTTGGATTTTCTGTTCTTGGATTCTTTGTGAACATTTTGAGGGTTTTTAGCAACACGCAAATATTTAATTTTTTCGTCGTTTACAAATCCTAGTTCAGTTCGTTTATAACTTCTATAAAATACTTCACTACAACTCTTATACTTCTGTATTTAATAGTTCCTTTTGCTTTTATATGAAATCATTGAAGGATCATACAAAAATATCCCAATTTTTGCGCTCTTCGAAAGTTACTGTGGGTTCCGCGGAACCCGCTGTGGCCACGCCAATGATTTCACATCATTTTTGTTTTATCAAAACAGGTTAATAATGTTTGTTTATATACTGGACGAAGAGATTTATCAGTTATTCAACATTCAGATACTACGATGCCGTTTAAACAAGTAGTTTATCTTTGTGTCTTTCTTTTGTCTGTAGAAGGACTGGAAGATAATGATTTTATATCCGTAAGTTTTGAATCTTATTAAAATACATTTATTTTTATATTTCATAAAGTATATTTTATGTTTTTAAATAAAAATGTACGGATATGTGTTTTTTGTAGCTTTGAATGGTAGAACTCACATAAATATAAAATAGCTAATGTAAAAAACAACAATTAACATATAAAGTATAATATTAAAGAAATGTTGAATGAAACTGAGAAATTTGTAAACCTGTTTAAATATTTAAAAGAATACTGTCATCGTGTCAATGACCTCGTAGTCGAGACACGTAATCGCTTTAGACAGAATGCTTACAAAAATTGAAGTTTTGGTACGGAAATATGAAAAATATGGCCAAAAGTATTGCTTTGAACTAACAGCGTCATTGATTTTATAGCAAAAATAAACGAAAATCACTTTTTTAAAACTTCTTTCCTAACTAGAAGTTTTCACTTTTGTGTACTTGATAGGATATAAAAAAATGATTTATATGAGACCTACATTAAATTTGGTTAATAATTTATTTAAACAATTGCGAAAAACTGCAAAAACTGGAAGGAGCAATAAACATAGAAAAAGGCGTAAATAAATAAAAACAAAAGTTTTATAAAAATATGTCTTTTAACACCCTTAAGAAATCATCATCATCATCAGTAGCTCGATAACCCTTTCTGGGTCCTGGCTTGTTCTAGGATTTTCCGCCATTCTGTTATGTTCTTTGCTTTGTTTTTCCAGTTGGTAATCTTAAGTGGTTTCAGATCTTGTTCCACTTGTTCCATGTATATAAGTTTGGGTCTTTCCTTTGACCTTCTGCCTACTAGTGTTTGTCTCATTATATGTTTTGGCGTTTCAGTCTCCAACATCCGTTCAACATGGCCCATCCAACGCAGACGTTTGATCTTTATGGATGTTATGATCTTGGGTTCATTGTGTGCTGTGTATAGGTTAAAGTTATATCTTCTGCGCCATACGTCATTTTTCTTTACCCCATTATATATGTGTCTAACGATTTTTCGTTCAAATGTACCTAATAGGTTCTCATCGCTTTTCGACAGTGTCCACGTCTCTGATCCATATACAAGGACCGGTTTTATCAGGGTCTTATATATTGTGAATTTGTTGTTTTGTGATGTTGTTAGATCTTAGATGTTTAATAAGTCCATTATATGTTTTATTAGCGATATGTATTCTTCTCTTAACTTCTTCACTGATATTGTTATATGCGGTAACTAGTAAACTTACATATGTAAAACTTTTCACGCTTTCGATGTTATAGTCTTATAAGTTTTTGTTAAAAATATTTGTTTATTTAAAAGATCTTCCAATTATTTATTAGGAAGTTGTTTTTTATAAAATGAAGAACTCGGTTGTTTCCGTTACCTTAGAATAGGTATTTTATAAAACCTCGTTTTGTTCGTTTTTATTTATATTTGTAAGATATGTAAGATCAAATATCATTTTCAAAATTATAGCCTAAAGTTCCATGGTACAATAAACTCTCATGGTAGAATCTTGCGCATGACATTTGACACTTTTGACAGCTGAGGTCAAGCGGGTGTGACGTAGCAAAGGTCCCTGTGTGCCATTATTTGTATTACTATATTGTGTAGTGGATTTTTTTGCAAAACTCGTATTGTTCATCTATTTTTAGCAATATTATTCTTTTTTTGGATAGTATATATTATATGTGTTATAGTCTGTATAGACTGATTAAGGAACATTAACTCGTATATTTGCTTTCGTGTATCTGTTTGTTTTTGTGAAATTTTGTAACTATTTCAAAATGCGCTGTGCAGTTGCTACTTGTAATAGTGACAATAAAGATAAAACCTTAAGGTTTCATACGTTTCCTAAAGATAGTGTGGTCAGGAAACTGTGGATAATATCCTGTTGTAGAAAGGATAATTTTAAAAGGATTTTGCTTGAATGATTAACTGAATACTTTCCTTTGGAGTGGTATAAAATGCCAACTTGGTACCTACCTCTTCTCTTTGAAGTTTTTGTTGATGATGCTTTCACATCATTGAGTGACTAAAGTCTTAGCATATGCACATGACATAAAATTATTTCGTATTATTCTAGACCATTCTGATTGTATTGGGTTACAGAAATTATTGGGCAGTTTTGCGAATTGACGTGTTATTATCAAATTAACTAATTGTAAAAAATTTCAGGTGATCCTTGTGTATTGATCTCATGAGCCGATAGTATTTAATTATAATTAAAATAATAAATTAATGTAATATGTAATAAAGTTCCTGTAAAAATTTATTTTTTATTTCCCAAAATACTTTAATACAAGTAAGTCCACCAGACATCCAATGAAGGTTCAATTATCATCGGTGGGTGTTTAGCAGCGTGACATTTGGACCAAACTAGGATGTGCTTAGTACTAACACGAACTTCTGTTGGATCTGTTAACTACTTCTTGTGTCCGTTGGACCCACTACTGTCATTAGGAAAACCCAAAGATCTAACAGCTGCAACATATACTTTTGAAGGAGTAAAAGAGTTCACATATCTAGGCTCAAATCAACCAAAGTAATACAGTAACTGCAGAAATTAACAGACATATATATATATATATATATATATATATATATATATATATATATATATAATATATATATATATATATATATATATATATATATATATATATCTAGCAAAGAGAACGTACTATGGATTAAAGAAACTTAACGTCAAAAATTCACAAAAACAACGAAAATATTGATATGTATATAGAACTCTAATCAAGTTGGTCAGAAACGTGGATGATGACAAAAAGTGATGAAAAACGTTTGGGTTGTTTTGAATGTATAAATGGGACATTTATAAAGGCGTGCAGGGAAACGGATTATGACATAGACGCTACAATTTTGAGCCTAATATTGGTAGGTCTATAAAAATGAACATGCTGCGGTGGCTAGGCCACCAAGAGAGAATGAAATTGTGTTGATATGTAGTCCATTTTGTAGATTAGCGAAGACCCAAAACTCTTTATATAAACTCTTTATATACATTTTTTTTTCTTATCTTATCTTTTTATCTTTTTAAACAACTGAAATATGGAACTCTAGAGTAGCAGTTGTTCAACCTGTGTGTATAATAAACATAATTAAAACGTGTTTAGTAAAGAATACCTATGTTAACAAAATAAAATAACAGTTTCAGAACCTCGCTAAAATATCTGTACCCAAAAATCAATAAAATTAAATTAGATACAACTTATTTTTTATGATTAAATATTATAAAAACACAACTTTATCATTTCCTTATAAGTACTATAAATAAATTAGCCAAATTATATTAAAAATTTAAAATTAAAAGTCTTTCCTATACAACTGCATTCAAATTTGCGCGAAGATGGGATCTTGACTACGTCGTGCGCGAAGCGAACCGATTTTGGAACATTATGTGCCATACCATGTGAATTTTATTGTACCATGCTAAAGTTCTGTTTAAATAATAGCCTAATTTGTTTATACAGTTTTTCGTTAATAACTCTACAGGAAATGAATATAAAATGATGCCATTCTGATAGTCGTTTAACTGGAAATTAAAAGAAAAACAAAGTTGTTTTTTATTTATTTATAGAAATAAAATTGTAGGAATATAACATTTAATTCTTACTTGATAAGTACTGTTTTAAATATTCAAACTAGTTTAGTTTATTATTATAAATAACAATTTGAAAAGTGGGTGTTTTAAATAATTATAAACAAAAAAGTGGTGTGGAGAATAAAATCGCTTTTAAAAGTGAAATCAGAGTTTTTAAAATAAATTCGTCTGAAAATTTTACAATATCTCCGAAAGTAGTAGGTCGATTTTAATGATTTTTTTAATCTGGCCGATCTTAGGAAAATAATAATAAATACAGGGTCAGTTTTGCAATAAATATTTATTAATTCATCATAAATCAACTATAAACAATTTTTTTTTGGTAATTTTATTATATTTTTTCTATTTCTGTTTCTATTTTAAAGAATACTGTAACATTTTTTTTATTATTAAAATATTAATTATTTTTAATTTCTTTTACCCCCGTGCGATACGCCGATGATTAGGAATTCCCGTGTTTACGATAAGAAAATAATATTGGATCTACTAAATTATAATGGACTTCCCTAATTACTAAAGGTAGTTAATCCTTTCCGTCTTAATCCTCAGTATGAAAAGATCTAATGCTTTTGGGTATGCAGGTTCTTTTATATAAATTGATCATTTTCGCCGAAGGCCCGTATCTTTTGACAATAACTTAATCCCAAGTATTGTCTGGTTCTCATGTCCAATTGTTGGTACCGGTAATTTAAAACTTTCGGAATTTTTACTTCCTCAGAATTACCTACAACTGTCTGATGATTTTAAGTGGGGGATATACCTTCTTCTTCTTTTTTCTTGGATAGTTGGTAAAATTTTTGGTGGAACCAACTTACTTCTCGGTGGGCTCTCGTTGATCACAGGTCGATTATCTCGTGAGACTTCTCGGTGGCCTCTCGTTGAGTGTGGTAGCTTGCCTGAAATTATTGCCTCTGTGAATTCTTTTTTAAGTGTATATACACTCTAAATTTCAGTTTTCTTGTCTTGTACTATATTAAGTTATATATGTATAGTTCTACACTACCTTTAATGGTACCTAATTAAATTCAGTGTTGAATACCAGTACAGTATATTAAATTCAGTGAATTAAGCTGCCGTCATCAGGAATTATGTAAGTTACCATAATCTTTATCTGCAAATTATCTGGGCAAGTAATATGGTATGGTATCATATCACCTGCTATTATCTGGACGTATCACCCATCATTCATCCATATCTTTATCTGTAGATTGCCGATTTTTATATCTAATTTATAGAACAAGTCAAGAACTTTCCATAAATAATAACTATGAACATCTCAGTTTAGCATTAATTAATAGTGCGAGATAGTAACCCACCTAGCCAAGTGCGGTTTGGCTAGTTAAGGTTTTCAACTCTGTAACTTTTTGTTTTTTTTTTGTAAATTCAAAGTTAAGAAATTTTTGCTATCTTTTGTATTTGCTATAATTTTTGCTCATTATCTTTCCTATAATATCTCGAGATACGCCAAACTATATTTGTATATGATTGTCTTATATATCTTGGTAAAGGTATTTTTTGTTATATTATTGCTTAATTTTATACATACATAACAACATTTCATAGTTGTGTATTTTTATTACTTGTGTTACTTTTAACAGATTCATAATTTTGTGTTTAATATATTGTTAATGTTTTATGCACGTATTTTATTTGTCGGCTCCTAATAAGTTCCCTGATATAATAGTAGCTTTAAATATTTGCTTAGTATATTAATTTATTACTATACCTTTGACCAGTAGAAAGATCAGGCTGATTAAGTTTCGTAGGTAAGTAAGTGTAATACCTAATATATTTATTATTTGTTTATATATTGTGTTGACCAAATTTATTTGATAATTAACTGTTGGTCTCCTTCCTTGGGTTTGATCTCTGATCTCTGAAGGATATCTTTCCTTATCTCTTTTCTTTTCTAAGGTTTCTTAATTTTCTCCTTAACCCCAAAAAATTGAGTGGCGCCCTGTTTCTATCTTCTCTTATCTTTGGTCATTTTACCCATCTATCTTTTTGTTTATTTCTGTATCTTTTCTAATATATCTTATCCTGTCCTATCTTTACTTATTTCGTCCGTTGGACCCAATCCCGGTTCCAAAAGTTAGTTTAGAACCCACGACTCGCTCTCAACTAACCATCTGGCTTCCGTCCGCAGTGTCTCCATTGGTTATCTTTTTAGCACCATCCAAAAAAGATTTTCGAGGTTACAATACTACTTCCTAATTATTTTTATGATTCTCTACATTCCCCGTCAAGCTAATCACATTTCAACGCTGTGCGAATATATCAACGCCAAAATTGGATGATGTGCAATTATTTCTCAGGAAATAACAAATAGTTAAACTAAACCCTTAGATCTAGCAATAATTTCTTCGTTTAAAAAGAGGCTACCTAGAATTTTATCAGAACTTTTCAATATTTTAAGTTTATGGAATTTATTCTATTGTTAATAAATTCCCAGAATGCAGAAACATTTTTAGGCATCGCTACTAGTTGCCGATAGGTCAACTAAGGGTTACATGTTCGCAAAATTGATACCAGTTTTGGAACTTCGCAGAATGCACGTGTTGTTTGTACGTTGTTTTTCTTGAAATATGTCTTTTCTGGTTTTCAAAAATCTTTTATTAGTGTACAGTTGTTAAAAAAATGAACTTGTGCAATTTTTAAATTTAAAACTATGGTTGAAAGATGTGATAGGTCTGTTGAAATTGTTACTTTAATTAATAATGGAACGAGTCAAAGAGAAGTGGTCAGACAGCTTGAAGTTAGTCGTTGTATGGTTAAAAAAACATACCAAAGATTTTTAGAGACTGGATCTCACGAACGACGACCAGGATCAGGCGTGAGAAGAATCACGACGGCCAGAGAAGACTGTTCTTTACAACGCACTTTTTTACAAAATCGGTTCTTTACGGCTAAAGCAATCCAAAACTTTTTTTAATATTCTCACGGATGAACATTAAGTACTTCTCCAGTGAGAAAAGGTTAAGATAATTTGATTTTAGGTCTCGCTGTCCAGTAACAGCAGCACACCGACAACGCCCATTTGAGTTTGCAAGAGACCACGAGCATTGGACGATAGAAGATTGAAAAATTGATTTGTTTAGTGATGAGTCCAGGATAGTTCTTTATGGATCAGACGCTCACATCAAAACGTACAGCAGACGATATAAACGATATGCTGCTTGTGTTAGACGAGCATGTGTTGCTTTTGAAGGAGGTTCTGTAATGTTTTGGCAGGTATTTCATTCGAAGGTCGTATTGATCTCGAGTTTATTAATAAAGTATCGTTGAATGCTCACCGATACAATATGACCGAAATTCTAGACGAGTATGCAATGCCCTTTTCTCGGTTTGTATGCGAAAACTTAATTTTCATGCAAGACAACGTGTGGCCACAAGTAGCCAGGATGGTAACCTTCGGTGTGTCAAAAATAAATTGGCTGGCTAAAAGTTTAGCTTATAACCCGATTAAGCAGGTTTGGGACTTACTCATACAAAGAGTAAGAAGCAGAATAGCTGCTTCAACAAATCGTGAACAGCTTCGATACGCGCTCAGGGAAGAGTGGAAAGCTTTTCCTCAAGACAACATCCCGAACTTAATCGATTCAATGCCAAGTCGAATAGAGAGTGTAATTTAAAATAGAGGCGGTAATACAAAATATGACAAACCACGACTTTAATGTAATTTTTATAAAGAAAACAGAAAAAATAAACAATTATTAAAAATATATAGTTAATTTTTAAAAATTGTGCAATAAAATTAGGTTGGCTGCCTTATTTATGTATTGTGTCGGTCAGATAGCTCAGCGGTCTGTGCGGCTGCCTCTCATTCGCTTCACTGTCGAATGGTTCAGTGGATGTGGGATCGAGCTCCAGCTCGGTGTACAGAAAACAAAAAGTCTAACGCAGCAGTTTAAAATTCTAGATGAATCTGCGGCTTAGACTAGAATATGCTGGGATCTGATCGACCTATGGTGGAGCAGTACGGCAAGAGATAAGGGCTTGCGTCTCGGTGATACTCCTTCATAGATCCCTACCGGACGGGCGTAACGCCTAAAAAACCGGATATATATATATATATATATATATATATATATATATATATATATATATATATATATATATATATATATATTTATGTATTGTAAGCTTTATTTTACTGTCACAATTTGTTATTTTGTTTATTTTTTGTTTTTAGGTGGACCTAGGAAGTAACCAAAACAATCTGCAATGGGACGTAAAACTACTGAGTCATTGCAAACGTGACTCAGATGAACCAATCTCCAAGTTCTCCCCAGAAAATTACGTATATGAAAAAATTCAAGCCAATGATTATGATTTTCTTGTGTGTTTGTTCAAAAACAACGGTATATTAAATTCAGAAGGTCAGTTGGTGGCAGAGAAAATTGCAAAGTTCTTTTCAATTAATCAAGAGAACGCTGAAGATATTGCCAAAAAGTGTAATTTACCAAGAGGAGCTAAACTTCCAGAACAAGCCTTACACTTTATGAGATGCTCCAGTCTGCAATAAATTTTTTAGGTATCAATAAATATTGTTTCTCTTGTTACTGATATCTTATTTTCCTGTGCACCGTTTTATGTTTCTTTATTTTTACTCGCAATTTTCATCCAAAAACATAATATTTCGAGAAAATGAGAGATAGATAATAACATATAGTACATAAGTCACTACTGTAGATAATAAGCAACTTATTTTATTCCTACTAAGATGTTTTATACTGTGAATGAAAGATAATTTGGCTGTATTCTCCTGGCTGTACAAATAACTACTACAAAATATGTATCAAGGAAATTAAGGATCTGGTATGTGTATAATTAATCACTCTACCCTAGATTATCAACAAAATGGATAAAAGTCGAATTATTAGTAAAATAGACAAACTAGAAGAACAAGAAAACCTTTTAGAAAATAAAGTAATACAACAAAAACACAATCCAGAAAATAAAATAGTGCAACATCAAACCTGTTTCAAATTTAATTCAGAAAGATAAATATTTGAGTTAGTAAGCAAAATTAATACCCAAGTTTTTTTATCTAATATTCTTTCAGCAACTGATGTCGAATCTGAACAAATAGCTTCATCATCTTCCATAATTAAAACAGGCATAATTGGAACCGGCGAAATTAAAAAAAAAACCCTTATTCGATGTTTAAACAAACAGCATGGGAAATTTGACGCTTTCAATTTAAAGCTCCACTCGGCTGAACCAGGAAAGAAATGAAAGTTTTTTTGGTACTATCACTTCAAAGACAGGCAGCAACCGTCTTGCAATTCCTTCTCCAAGATACAGATATGTATAACTGTCTCGATTAAGCTCTAGGAATAAGATATGGCCTTAATCTAAAGCAGGTTTTCCAAACTCCATTGAAATGCAACAAGCATTTCGATTACAGCATCACTAAACGCTTAATGGAGCCCAGGAATATAAAGCGGCAAAAAGTATTTTCCAGATCTCGTTCAAAATTAAAATACATAAGATTTCGAGAACATGAGGTAGTCACTACCGTAGCAACTTATTTTATCCCAGAAGCATCTTGCAAAATCTTCAACAAACATCTCAAACTAAAAACAGAAGATGTTGTAATTGCAAAAATAGGACATTTACAAAATAATTGTAGACTTCAATTCATGTAGTCCTACTCTATAGTATACTTCGATTCCAGTTAAGTTGTAGACTTTGATTCCAGTTAAGGACAGACGAACCAAATAAGGAGATCAGAGAATCAGTCAGGTCGATATTTAGAACCCCGTCATATAGTCCTACTCTATAGTATACTATAGTAGATATATATCTCCAAGAAATCGATTTTCCACAAACGACCATAGAAGTGAAAAAGATACCTAAACTAATAGATTTAAAAAAAAATAGCGATTATTAAAAATGAAATAGAAACGTTAAGATAACAGGTGTCAATTTTTCAGAATGAACAGAAATGCCCATATTTGCGATGACTACCGGCTTATAAACTTGACCAATCATGTCACTAAAGCGTTCACTAAGATCATTCATAGAAGAATATGATAAATGTGAGTCAAATATTGATAGATCGCAGTTTGCTTTTCGGAAAGCACTTGGAACTAGAGAAGCAATTTTCGCTCTCCAGGTGCTTATACAGCGGTGTAGAGATGTTGATAAGGACGTGTATTTGTGCTTTGTAGATTTTAGAAAAGCATTTGACAATGTCAATCATGAACAATTGATAGGTATTCTGCGATAGACAGGTATTGACGACAAGGACATTCGAATTGTGGAAAACCTATACTGGGGTCAAACAGCAAGAGCAAAATTGGCAACTAACTCACTAAAAGCGTACTGATCAAAAGAGGTGTCCGTCAGGGGTGTATATTATTTCACTTCTATTCAATATGTATTCAAAGGAAATATTTAACAAATGTATGGAAAATGCAAATGAGGGCATAAAAATAAACGGCGAGTTAACGAACAATATAAGATATGCCGACGACAGGGTGATCCTTGCCAGTACCATAGACGAATTACAACAAGTAATGGAAATACTTTATTCAGTTAGTGAGGAATACGGCCTGAGCTTCAACTTCAAGAAGACAAAGTGGATGCTGAGAAGCAAAAAGCAACAATCTGCTCGACAATTACGGATAAGCAACATACCAATTGACCATGTAGAATCTTATGTGTACCTTGGCACCAACGTAAATGCAAAATGGGAACAGACCATAGAAATTAAGGCAAGAATAGAACGAGCTAGAGCAGCATTTAGCAATATGAAAAAGCTCCTCATAAGCAAGGATTTGTCTCTTCCCCTAAAACTACGTATAGTTAAATGCTACATTTTTCCGATCTTGCTGTATGGCGTGGAGGCCTGGACGCTAACGGAGACGCTAACGAGAAAACTAGAAGCATTCGAAATGTGGGTGTACCGACGCATTCTTCGTATATCCTGGACCGAACATGTCACCAACATAGAGGTACTCCAACGAATCGGAAAGGAGAAAGAAATCGTGAATACAATTACACAAAGAAAGCTTGAATATCTAGGCCACATATTGAGACACGATAAGTACCGTCTGCTACAATTGATTTTCCAGGGAAAAATAGACAGTAAGCGAGGGCCAGGCAGGAGAAGACACTCGTGGCTCCAAAATCTGCGGAAGTGGTTCGGGCTCACATCGGTCGAACTATTCAGAAGCGCCTCAAACAAGATCAAAATTGCCATGTTAATAGCGTTCGCAACGGACAGGGCACTTGAAGATGAAGAAGAACAAATAAAATAATTTTAAGATACATTCAATAAATTATAGGTTCAAGTGACTGTCAGCTTAAAGAAAAAGAGAATATACCCAAAGAAGTAAGTCTACGGGTAACCACAGATATACAGAAAGAAGATGATGATCAGACTTCCCTGGAAACCCTTAAAAAAAGTTAAAAGAAAGATTATGACTTCATAGTTATACTTATAAGAAAGGCATAAAAATTGAGTAAGACCTATTTGGCAAAAAATAATCGAACACATTAAATCTGTCAAGTATATCAGAAGAAAAGGAAGCTTAATAAGAACATACACTTTTGACAAATGGTACTGCCAAAATCATACACTAAATTGTGCTACAAGATCATTATAGCAGCCTTTTAGGAGGACTTGCCAGAGTTATAGAAAGATTTTACTGGATAAATTGGCGCCAAGATTTAAAAGATTTATGTAAGAAATGCGATTTATGTAATGCTAGAAAAGGCTCTAGAACAGAAGGTTATGATGGCAAACATATTTTCCAGAGAGCATTTTGAATGACTTGCAGTGAATATTTTTGTCCACTTCCGATGACATAGAGAGCAAATAAGTACTTAATGGTCGCAATGGATTATTATTTAAAACGGCCTGAAATTGCACCCGTTCCTAATTAAGAAGTAACTACAGCAGCAGAAAAATTCATAACACACGTCGTACAGAGATATAGAGTTCCTTTAGAGTAACATTCTGACCAAGAACGAAATTTTTAATCAGAATTATACAAAAATTAATGAAAATCTTATGTATGAGGAAAATTTAAACCACCCCTCCATTCTTAAGAAAACAGAATGGTCGAAGACATAATAGAACTGATTAGCAATACCGTTTAATGTTTGTCGCTGATAATCAAAGTTAGTGTGATACTTTAAATACTCCATTCCTGTTAGCCTATAAAATGTCCAAAAAATGAAGCAACAGGTTAATATCCATCGATGATGATAACCGGAAGAGAAATGAAGCTTATTCAAGATCTTATTTTCGAAAGATTGCCTCCATGCGAAGAGAAATGTTCATTCCTGACGTACATTGAAAATTTAAAAGAAAAATTATAAAGGCCTAAGAATTTGCTCATAAAAGTTTAAAGTTTCAAAATGATAAAGCCAAGACCAGGCTCGATATGAATGCAACTGGTACATCTTTCAAAAGAATTGACCCAGTATGGTTTTATAATCTGACACGTAAAAGTCCAAAGACTTTAACGCAACTGGGAAGGCCCGTACAAGATTCTGCAGAAAATAAACTATCTAATCTACCGCATCCAGTTTTCTGCCAGAAGTAAACCCAAGGTAGTTCATAGATACATCATAGTTACAACTCTTCCGTGAGATTTACTTCAGATAGAGAAAGGATTTAACTAATAAAATACAATTAGATAAAAAAATCAAATACAGCGGCATATTAAAAGATTTATGTATTTTCGACCCTATTAGTCAAATTGTGACATACAGTACTTTAAATAAAAGGATATAACCAAAAGAATACACTAAGAGCAAAATATGCAAGTACAACAGCGTTTTAAAAGGCCTTGGTTATTAGTCACAAGAAGAAGATGCCAGTTTTGCGACGGAACCTGACGTACTCAAAAGTGAAGTTGAAGCAGCAATTATGAGGCAAAAAAGTCAAAAAGCTGCCGGTCCAGATAACATACCTATTGAAATGATTTGGGCCCTAGATGACGTTGGAGTGGATATAATACATCAAATTTGTCAAAGAGTGTGGGAGACAGGTAAATGGCCTCAGGACTGGACACAATCACTATATATTCCCATACATAAAAAGGGAGCGAAAGATTTATGTAGCAACTATCGCACAATTGCTCTAATTGCACATTGCAGTAAGATACTCTTACACATAATTCTCGAGAGGATAAAGCCCTTTTTACCACCTAACATTGCGGAGGAACAAGCAGGTTTCGTCCCAGGACGTGGTACTAGAGAACAAATTTTAAACGTACGGCAGATTGTAGAAAAATCCAGAGAATTCAACATCACAACATATTTGTGCTTCATAGATTATAGTAAAGCTTTCGATTTGGTCAACTGGAGTAAAATGTGGCAGGTTTTGTCTGAAATGGGAGTCTCTAATCATCTGATACTGCTAATTAAAAGCCTGTACAATAACAATTATGCCAGAGTTAGAATAAATGGGGAACTAACTGACAGTTTCAGGGTCACAAAGGGCGTGAGACAAGGCTGCATACTAAGCCCAATTTTATTTAACATCTATGGTGAATGGATAATGCG